CTATAACCTGATTTCAAGAAAGAAAATGGGTGTTTTAAGTGCACAATGAATACAGTGTTAGGCCATAAGTGGCTTTGAAGTGATGCTCTTGTAACAGTAGTAAATAAGTTACTCCTAAATCTTGGTGCTGTGTTTTCTCTCTTTTTGATGTGTCAATTTTTGTCATTTAATGATATTTGTATAGTGAAATCCATTGGTGTGCAACATCAAAAAATAGCATTGTTTTGTCAAATTCATTATGAACATATCAGAGAATGAATAGTCATTTCAGTAAAAAGCAGATACCAGTAGCTCCAACGAAGGAAAGGTCTTTTAATACTCCATAGAAACTAACATTTGCAGTGTATGTATAGTATTATATATGAAAAATAGAGAACACAAGTGAAGGGTATAAACGAAAACTCTTAAATTAATTCTATGGATCATGTAAATCAGCAACAAATCACCTTAACCTTCCAAAAAAAGTATTATGCCCAATATTTTCATTTTCCATTAACAATTAAATTGATTGTCTAATTCTAAGAGTTTTATTTTAAAAAACCTGCTCTACTTTTTTCTTTCCACCATAAACTCAGAGAATGAGAGAACTCTGATAATGGAAAGTGAATGCAAAGCGTGATTATGTAGAGTAATTTTTTTTAAAACAGTTACTGTTTGTAACTGTTGCTCTTTGAGATGTGTTGATGATGTCCATTTCATTACGTGTGTGCAGTGCTTTTTTTGTTTTAAAAAAAAGAAGTGCCGGTACTCCTGTGGAAAAGTTGTTGAGCTCTGACTGGAGGTGCTGGTACTGCATCTGGAGGTACCGGTACTGAGTACTCCGCAGTACCATCACAAAAAAAGCACTAGGTGTGTGCATGCACCAAATGCATCACTGAACGTTTTTTCCCTTAGTGATACGTTGGGTTGGCTGTGGAGCTCCCTGGCATGGCGCCTTCATGGTGCAGTATATAGGACACTGCAAATCCCCCTTCCTCTCAGTTCTTTCCTGTCCAAATACTCTGACAGAGTGGAGGTAATTTCCATGTAGAAGGGGACAGAGTTCATCCGCTTGCTGCCTGTAGGACGGCCCTGCCAAAGACTGTGTCATCTTGTGCCTTTGACACAGAGGGATATGTGTTGGATTGGGGCACAAACCCTCTGGAAGAATCTGGGGGAATCTGGCACATGGAGAGCCAGCTCAAGAAGTCACTATCCAACTAGGATTGTGATAGCCGGGGATCAGGCAAGGAACTTTTTTATTTTAAACACTAACAATTATACTAACTTCCTACTGGAAGGAGAGAACTTGGATGAGGTTTTTCTAACTTACTTACATATTTATCTATCTCTAACTACAGACAGAGTTCCATCTTCAGTCAAGGACAGTTGAGAAGAAACTGAGGGGATCAGGACGAGCATGTGCCAAATGGACTAACAGGCACCGCAAGACACCAACTGTGCATGAATATCCAACCAAGCTCTGCTATCAAAGATCTCCAATCAACTGTGTTGAATCACACCATCACCTAGAATGGAGAACCCATGGGAACAGCACTCAAAGAAGAACGGGGTCTCACACAGCCACACAGCTGCAGGAAGCAAAAGCAAAGACCAGGAAGGGAAAGACACTTCTGACTGTAAAAAAAAGATGGAAACCACATTGCTAACTGGTTCTTGTAGAGTCTGGAAGCCACATGCTGAGACCACACCACTGTGTGTCCCAATGAATTCTAGGGACAATGTGGGATCCAAAGTTGACTTTTTTCAATGTTTATGTTCACTTTCAGTGAAGAGAGGAGTATGAACAGCATGGAGTTCAAGGCTCATGCCTTTCCTTTGGATGGTGCTGCTATCAGTCGTCAAGATAAGAGAATATAAGGACCCCTTCACACTGAAGATGAGTCCCCAAAGCAGCAAAAGCTTTGGTGAAGATGATTGAGCACTGCTGAGTCTGAACAGTAGAACCCTGTATTAGAAGTATCAAGGGCCTGCCGTGAAATGTCTGAAGATAAGGTGGATGTCTAGATAAAAGTAAGCATCCTGCATATCAACAGCCATAAACCATATGCCCTTTTCTAGCAAAGGTATGATATCTACTAGACCACACAAAACTTTGTCTTGCATATGAAGTGGTTGAAATGACAGATCTAATATCATTCCTCACCCACTTTCTTTTTGTGAATTAGAAAATAGATGGAATAGAACCATGCACCCTGATAAGTCATAGGAACAGGTTCAATTGTTTCTTTTGCAGTAGAGAGTCCACATCTAGGGCAAGGACACTGTTGTGAGAGTGGTCCCTGAAGTGGGGTGGGAGTATGGGTGAGCCAGCATCGTGAACTCAATCATATGACCATGTTGAATGACATGCAAGACCCAATTGTCCGTAGTCATCACACTCCAAGTTGATAAGAGTGCTGGACAATCCCGTGAAAGGGATGAGTGAGGTATGAAGCACAAGGTAAGGTGACTGGTGGCTCTCTAGCTGCACTCAAATATCACTTCTGCAATGACTGAATATGAGATGCTGAAGGCTGAATAGGAAAAATCCAAACCTGGATGTGATAACTGACCTGAAGGATAGGACCACTGGAACTTCTGTCATTTATGAAGAGGCTCACAGGGCTACTGACTGAATTTTTATGTGGTAGAAGTTATGCTTGGGTGTTGGCATGCAAATATCCACAAATCAGAGTGGCTCTAGAATCCTTGAGGAAGTGGAAGGAATTTTAGTTCTTCTGATTGAAGGGAAGAGACTCTTTGAAATGGAAGTCCTCTTTGGTGTTCTGGACTTCCTTTAGGAAATTTGATGAACATAGTCATGGCTCATGACAATTCCTGTAGCCACTGTACATGAAGAAGGGACTGACATCTATTACAGCCTGAACCATTGTCCTCACAATCAGTTTTCCCTCCTTTAAGATAGCTGGGAACTGGATATGATCTTGCTGGGGGAAGCTTGTCTTCCAAGTCAGCCTGCTTGCTATAGGCAAGGAAGTCATTTAGCGAACAGAGCCAAGTAATTTCAGTTTCAAAATTGAAGACTGGCAGAGGACAAGACTTTGTGACCTACAAGGTCCAGTCACTTGCCCACTTCATCCACTTGGGTGGCACGTGAGTGTCGTTGCCAGGCTAACCCCATCACCACCTGTGTGACCAGGCGATTGGGTGAAGCGCAAGATTCCCTCTAGGCTGTGCAGCAGTACAGACTTGAAGCTGCTTAATGAGCCCCATCCAAGGGCTCAGGGCTGCCGCACATGGAGCTGCTTGATTGGCAGAGGGGCACTACTCACTCAGCTACAGCAGCAGTTCTGTGCTGAGGACAGAACAATGAGTCTCTCCCAGCTGGTATGGACGAGTCCCCTCCATACTGGCTAGGAAAAACTCGCTCCTCTGTCCTCAGCAGGGAGCTGCTGCTGTAGCTGAGGAAGTAGTGTCCCTCCACCAGCCAGGCATCTCTTTGCATGGCAGTCCTGAGTCCCTGAGAGGGACTCATTAAGCAGCTGCAGGGCCCTGCTACTATGCAGGTTAGAGGGAACCTCCGTGGAGGGTGAAAGCACAGAAACTCAAACCCCTCTGCAGATACATAAGGAATACAAGGACCCTTCTCTACCCTCTTTGGGGGTGGACGTAAGTGGTCAGGGTGCATAAAACAGTCCAAGTTAGTTGAAGAATGGTGTAGAACATGAGATTCTTGTTTGGGGATCACCTGTAAATCTCTGCTTCCTACTCAAAGAACAAGCAACATTAGGAGACTCTTACATTTTGAGCAGCAAGAGCCTAAGTTATGTTCATCACAGACTTAACCAAAAGGTACTGAAGCAGTACTGGCACGCATCTTCAGCCTGAACTAAGGATGAATAGGAAAAATCCAAACATGGATGCATAGAATGGGATACAGAAAATGGAAACTAATGCACCCACAGTTCTTTGAAAAATAAAGGGTTAGTGTTTTTGAAATTCCATAGGCAGTTTATTGATGTATCCGCTGCATGTGTTTTAGGAAGTTCTCATACACTACAATGACAGGTGCTATAGAAAACTAAGATGTTGTTATTACTGCACAAAAGTTGTACGTAAAAAAACATTTCCAACATTACCAGGTAAAAATGGTGACTTTTTCTTTATAACTTTTTTCTCTTTTTTATCAATCTTATCTGGGCTTTCTTGCTCTTTATCTTGTTCTGCATTATTAGGGTCAGCTTGATGATTAGAAAGGTTCTGAACATCTGGATTTTGATCCTGAGCTGTAGGAGTCTTAGCTTGGCTACATTCTGTAGGATGCGCTGAGACTGGAATTGAAGACAGCCCACTGTTTTCTAAGGCTTGCTAAGGCAAAACAAAACTAGAATGTTAGGGAAAAAGCTTCACAAATAATTTAAAATTTGTTATGCTCAAACAACTATATATGACATGCAACACAACTATGATTAAAAATGTTTAGTCAAGCTTTTTATAACTACAAAATTTTAGCTGAATTTCAAAGATTTACAGATCTTTCCTCTACCAAGGCAGTAAGCAATAATATTTTTAACTAATTACATTATTCAACTGGAACTGAATTTTTCTCCAGCAATAATACATGTATAAGCAATCACTTCGCAGAAAACCAACTGAATCTATAAAGCCTAAATAAAAAGATGTTTTCTCTTAAATCTACATTAAAATTTTCATTTTAACCAGTTACTTATAGCTTAAAATACAAAAAGAACTAGATTTTTTTAAATGTATTAATGTTGGGGTGGACAATGCCTGACCTCCCTGCTGGAGGCCTTTCAGCACCTTGGCCAGCAGCAGAAGCAGTAGAGAGGTACTCTGAGCAGAATAAAGGGACACCCTTCGTTGCAGCCAATCAGAGTGCAGCAGGCTGATATAAAAGGAGCTGCTAGTCCAGGGCCTGTCAGTTCCTTCCTGGAGCTCAACCCAGGCAGACCTCAGGGCTGACTGGGGAACACCAGCACTCTGGACAGCTCTGAGTGGGAGCTGGGGCATAGTACCTGGTCAGTGCCAAGTCCTGCAGCTCATGGTACCAGTGTAAAGGATTCGACACGTCGGGCAAGCGCTCCTTGATGGCTGAGGGTAGTCTTGCAGTCTCTACTCGCCTGTCTGTGTGCGAGGCAGTGTCCAGTAAGTGGCCAGAGATCAGGCCTCTTCTTTTACCTCCCCCCGGGTGTGGCTTGCAGGGGGGCTAAGGGGAGACCCAAGACCACCACTCCTCTGGGTCCCAGCCCAGGGACCCTATAAGTAGCAGTTACCTGCTGAGTTTCAAAGTATTTAGTTGCTGTAATGTCCCTGGGACACTTCCCGAGGATGTTGTTCCATCAAGCCCTTCTCTAGGGCCTTGTGGCTCCCCTTGTCCGGGGTTCTGCAGGGTTGCCTTTGGCTTCCTGGCTAACCTTTAGCCACAGGACCTGGGATGCCCCAGCTCCCACTCGGAGCTGTCCAGAGCCTTGGTGTTCCCCAGTCAGCCCTGAGGTCTGTCTGGGTCGAGCTCCAGGAAGGAACTGACAGGCCCTGGACTAGCAGCTCCTTTTATATCAGCCTGCTGCACTCTTATTGGCTGCAATGGAGGGTGTCCCTCTATTCTGCTCAGAGGACCTCTCTACTGCTTCTGCTGCTGGCCAAGGTGCCGAAAGGCCTCCAGCAGGGAGGTCAGGCATTGTCCACCCAATCACAGTATTCCATGAAATTGTAAGTTAAATTGTACTAGAAAAAAAATGCAGGCATATACAACCAATAACTGGAAAAAATCTCATAACAGAACAAAAAAACTGGGGAGAGGGAGGAATGAGGAGCGGGTAATTAAAATTAATAGAATAAGGTTATGTCTACACCACAAATGCTTGTCTATCAACCTAGTGGTATCCACACTGAGCCTTAGATCAGTTTAGTTATATTGCTCAGGGCTGTGGGATTTTTCAAAGCCCTGAGTGATGTAATTAATCTGACATAACTTTGTAGTGTAGACAGCCCTTATGTCTTGATCTAATAATTCACTGTACCAGTGGAGAACTCCAAGGACCTAATAGGGTGCCACACAAGGAATAACAGTGCATTGCAGATCTAAGACCTGAATATATTTCAAAAGGGGGTTTAGATGAATAGTGTGGTTGGCTAGTGCTCAGAGAAAGAGACATTAACATAAATAGTGTGCATCCTTTTCAGCTTGAGGACTGAACACATTTTAGAAATATCAAGGGGCCACAGCCAATATTTATTAATGTTTTCTGTCCTGTTCTTTTTTTCCTTTTCTGACAGTTGAGTCCATGCCACTATAAAGGAAGCATTACAAGGCAATTGGAGAGGTGGGAGCAATGGGGTTGATTCAAATACTCCAGCTTAAACATCACAAGGTACAGTTCAGGGAACAAATTCTAAATTCACAATCAAATAGAAGTTATCTGAACAGGATCATCCTGGATGGCAACAATTTAGATCTCTAAGTGCCACAAAGTGGTCCAGGGACCACAGAAAAACAAAAGGCAAATTTTTTTTTTTTAAGTATTTATTTTCACTCACTTCTAACTAGTATTTATTGCCTTCCAATCTGATCACATAATAGAGCCAAAGAAACATCTTAGAGAACTTTGCGCACTACATTTTCATTATCCCAATTTTTGCCCATTGGGCAAAATCAATCCAGGCACAGAAACACCTTATGGATTTTTAAAATAGTTGCTGATTATTATGTAAATACACCCTACCTGCAAGATGTCTCGATTGAGTCCCATTGCAATATTGAGTTGTTGGCCAGATTGTTGGGGCTGATTATTTTCCACTGGACCTGGTTCTGACAGCTCAAGGAGCTGCTGGATGACATCTGTTACAGCCTGTTGCCCCTGCTGACCTGCAGCTGATGTTACTTGGTTTTCTGTCTGTTGAAGAAGCGGAGACCGAAAATGTGTGGCCTGAAATATACAGCAGTATATTTGTAAAGGAAAATGAAAGAGGAACATATCAAGAAAGTTTGACTTACCGGTTTATTTTCTGTATCTGAAATATGTCTGCTAATTGTCCACTGTGGGGATTTCCACTCATGTAAGACTGGGCAGTTTACAGAGCTGTTTACATTCAAGGACTGCTGATTCCACTAAAGGACTGCTCCTCTAGTCCCCTTCCAGGAGTTGTTCCCAAGATACACAACTGTAAGCTTATAATTTAAATGATGTTTATAGTAAAATGCTGGCCCTCCATCAATTCACACAGCATGGGGACCTATTTGGAATGACTGATTTTTTTTTTTTTTTTTACAACAATGGTCCTGTAGCACCTTACAAACTAACAAAAATGTATAAATAGTATTATGAGCTTTTGTGAGCACAACCCGCTTCTTCGGATAACAAATTTGAAGCAAGAGGCACAAATGTTGAATTTTAAAACAGAAAAAGAGAAAGAACGGAAAAAAACTGTCAAAGTGTCCATGCTTAAAAAGACTAAGAATAATCTGTAAGTGCTTGATACTTAGCTTTTGATGTCATTTAGGTGTTGACTATAATGGCCCATCTAGTTCAAGTCTTTGTTCAAGCCTAAAAAACAGCAAATGGTTCTGCAGCACCTTAGAGACTAACAAACCAATGAATGGTTTAAGTTTTTTCAGTTACAGACTAACACGGCTACCCGAGACTTTGTTCGAGCCGTGCAAGATAGAATCTGCGGAGCGAGCCTTCATATGCAAATTTTATACTATCTATAGTAGACTTCTCAAATTGTTTTGTAAGAGAACAGCCAACTTTAAAATCCATTAATGAGTGCCTGGGCAAGTTAAAGTGTTCCCCAAAAGGTTTGTGTGTTACCATTTCAAATATCTGATTTGTGTTCATTAATCCTTCGTCTTAGACTGTCCAGTTTGGCCAATATATATGGCAGAGAAGCATTGCTGACACTTGATGGCATGTATCACAGTGGTAGATGTACAGATGTATGAGTCTCTGATGTGGTGGCTTATGTGGTTTGGTCCTCTGATGTCGCTTCTATAGATGTGTGGACAGAGTTAGCACGGGGGTTTATTGCAGAGGTGGGTTCCTAGATGACTGTGATGGAGGTGTACTGTGTGGTTGCTGTAAAGAATTTATTTCAAGTTAGAAGGCTGTCTGTAGGTGAGGATTCGCCTGTCCCCCAAGGCCTGTGAGGGATCATTTTCCAGGATAAGTTATAGATTGTTAATGATGCACTGGAGGGATTCACGCTGGGGGCCATAGGTGCGGACTCGTGGTGTTCTGTTATTTTGTTTGTTGGGCCTATCATGAAGAAGCTGATAGTTGGGTACTTGTCTGGCTCAGTGAATCTGTTTCTTCAATTACCCGAGCAGGTAATTACGTTTTTAAAATGCCTTACAGAGATCCTGGAGGTGTTTGTGTCTGTCTGTGGGATTTGAGCAAATCAGGTTGGTATTTTAGGGCCTGGCTGTAAACAATGGATTAAGTAATGTGTCCTGGATGAAAGTTAGAGGCATGAAAGTATAATGGTCAATAGGTTTCCAGTATAGGTGGTGGAAATGTTGCCATCATTTAATTGTACTGTAGTGTCAAGGAAATAGATCTCGTGTGGACTGGTCCAAGCTAAGGCTGATAGTGGGGTGAAAGTTGTTGAAATCTGTATAATTCTTCAAGGATATCCTTTCTGTGGGTCCATATGATGAAGATATTGTCAATGTAGTGGAAGTAGAGTAAGGATACTAGGGGGCGAGAGCTGAGGAAACATTCAAGGTCAACTATAAAGATGTTGGCATATGGTAGAGCCATGCATGTGCCAAAAGCTGTGCCACTCACTTGAAGATAAAAATTGTCCCCAAATTGAAAATAGTTGTGGGTGAAAATAAAATCACCAAGTTCAGTCACAAGATTTGCAGTGGAATCCTCAGGCATAGTGTTTGACAACTAGTAATCCATCATCACGTAGAATCTTGGTATAAATAGCTTCTATATTCATGGTGGACAGTATAGTGTTTTCAGAAAGATTATTGATGTTCTATAGTTTCCTCAGGAAGTCAGTGGTGTCTCGAAGACAGCTAGGAGTGCTGGTAACATAGAGTCTGAGCAGACAGTCAACAAAACTGGATAATTGCTGTGACTGTGCCAATGGCTGAGATGATGGGATGGGACCGGACCACTTTTTATTTTTTTGCAAGTAAGGGTAAACAAAAAAAGTAAATGTAATAATGAAAAATACCTCAAAAAGCTTTTTTATTAAAAAAATACTTGCGTATATAAGTAAACTATCTAGAGTATTTCATAAAAATAATGAAGCCTCAGTGATAGGGCACGTCTAGACTTGCTTTCATTTTAGAAAGAATATATGCAAATCTGACACAAATTTGCATATCTGGAAGAGGTTCTTTTGAAAAAGAAAGTAGTCTAGACACGGTTCTGTCGAGAAAAACCCCTTTTTCAAAAGAACCGTGTAAACCTCATTTTTCAGAAAGAACGGAGTCATCTAGATGTGGTTCTTTTGAGGAAAAAACCCTTTTTCGAAAGAACCATGTAAACCTCATTATTTTACGAAGAATGGTTCTTTTTTGAAAGAACCTCTTTTGAAAAAGCTATCGGAAGAAGATATGCAAATTCATGTCAAATTTGCATATTATCTTTCGAAAGTGAAAGCAAGTCTAGATGTGCCCATACATAGTTTCGCAATTAAGCTCCTCTGTTAAATCTTTGTGAGAGAGACTATTGTACGTATATGTGAATTAGTAATACAGTCCATAAATTATATAAAATAAATCACCATATTGTTAGACATATTGCTGCGTCAACAAATGAGACTTTCCGTTTACCCCTAAAGTCATGTAACAAGGCTGAAAGACCCAGGGGACAGTCAATCCTAATTATCAAGAAGAGATCAGGTGATTTCCCTATAAAGATTAGCAGGAAGCTGCAAGCGGCGGGGTGGGGGAGGGGGCGGGCAGGGAATGCTTAGAGATCAGAGTGAGCAGGCTCCAGTAGAAAGTTCTAGTTGTTAGGACTGAGAATCCAGCCACACAGGGTCTGGAGGGGTCTGCCAAATATGGAAGTGAAATATTCATTTGGATGGACTTTTGGGTGGATTTTGTTTTGGGATCATGAGTTTTCGCCGCAGTTTTATTTTAGGTTAATATATCCCCTCCCCAAGCTAGAGTATTTTCTAAAGTAAAAACACTGATTTTTATTTCAACAGTCCAAGAGGAGAAACTGAGGCTGTCTTCAGTCTGTACACAAGGCTGCTCCGTATTACAAACCTCCTTCACCAATCCTCCATTGAAGGAAAGTGGCCAACAAAGGCAACTTGTCACACCACCTACCCATTATTTTTCCCAAAAACTTTATAGTACTGTACCAAATAAGCTACTACTTCTAATGTAATTCTGTCATACTAAGGGTGCTTTACAGATTTCCAGTTTCCCTGTCATCTGCTTTAAGCAAGAGACCACTCTATTCACTTCCTGTTGACAAATGGGGCTTTTTCATGTATCTGGCATTTTGGTATTCATCAGAAGCTAACAGCTACTTTACTTGGCTCCCAATTTTACAATAACACAGTCATTATAGGTGAACCACTATATTTTTTTTTGTCAGCATGCCATCTGCAGTTTTTTTGTTGTAGTCATTTGCTTGTTTTAAGAGAATAAGCAGGGACACCTGCCATAAAGAAAAATAGAGGTCTGATCCAAAAGATACCTTTTATAAAGTTATCATTACTGGGGATCAATTCTTCTTTCCAGAAATATTTTAGTATAAATGAACAGGCAGATGGTACTGGTTTCTTTCTTCTTAAAAGCCTCCCTCACTTTATATGGCAAGTCCCATGGAAAATCTCCTTCAATAGCAATTCCAAGATTGTTGATTTGTTTTTAAACTAGTGATACTATAATAACACTGTTCAGAGTAGTCGGTTTATCTTTTTTATTTTGTTTCAATCGTCTTCAATGTTCTGCCTTTATATGAGGAAGTTCATTCTTGTATTAATCTATTCGAGGCCCGATGATAATGGATCATAAAACGTCCTCTGTGATCTATATAAGTAATACCTCCTTCAGCTTCTTTACTTCTTTGATTCAGATTCTTTTTACTCCAAAAATGTAAAAACTTTTGAACAGAAGGAAAAAGAACAATGCTGGAAATAATTTTTGTTCAAATCTAAAAATCAAATTTCTCCCCTATCTTGGCTATCTTCTACTCTTTTCTTATTCATCCTCAGAAAGATGAATAAGAAATCCAAGAACTTTTCCTTTTTAGAACCTGGAATAAAATAATCAGGATTGTTATCCTTGTTCTTTCCGCTTCACTTGACACTCTGTTGGGTTTATCAACTCTTTCGTCACAGAAGATTCAGACCTGTGAATGTACCAATGGCTTTCAATTTTTCTTCATCTATGTAGATCTCTAAAAAATTTCAAATGGAGGCACAGACACCTATGGAAACTTAGACATAGTCGTCAGATCTCCACCAGTCCATACACTTGAATGTATTCTTACTCAGAGATTTTCTTTTATTTTCTTAACAATAAAAAGGATACTGCAACATATGGTTGCTTGCCATGCAGTTCAGTTCTTGAGCATTCACAGGCTAATATTCACTTCTGTTCCCCAAGCAATGAGAAGCCACCTTATCACTTCAGGTTGCATTACGTAGAGTCCTGTTTGCCCACTACCAAGTGGTTTTAGGATAAATTTCACTTAGTCTTTCAGTGTAATTTTATTTTCCATTTTGAAAAGCTTCTCCATAGCTTTTTCCATAGCTGAAATGTTCTCTTGCAGACCTGGTAAGGTAAAGATCTTGTCTTCACATTTTGTGAGGATTCAAAATAATTAGGGTAAAAAAAAAAATATTGTTTCACCTGGCAGTTCCCTCCTTGGAACTGGATGAATAGTTCTGAATAAATATTTTAAAAGCAGTGAGCTGACACTCACTTTCAAGAATAGATACTCGTCACCCTTCACATATATATAAGAATTTTATATTTGGGGCAATTTTCTATTTTCCACAAAGTGTTTATTTTTGTTCATGCTGAGGATCAGCATGGCAAGATCTCTACTCAGATCACAATTTGACAGAAACTCTGTCTAAACAGATTGACAAAATATATAGACTTAATTTTGTACTTACTACTACCACAGAAAACTACAGTTTGAATCTCTGCAGTCTGCCATTCTCTGGTCTGGCAACAGTCGTGATCCAGAATGATTTTAGATGTCCACTTATCATGGGTGTGGCCGAGTTTCCCGAAGTCCTATGACATTTGTTTACAGCCACTGTCTCTGTTCTGTGCTGTTATTTCACTCTAATTCATCCCTAAATATCTTCTAAGAGCCCAGCAAACAGTGGAAGTGTTGGTAATGCTGCTAGACAATACTGACCTCCTGTGGTTCAGTACATTCTCTGGTTCGGCACCAGTCAGATGCCAAGGGTGCCAGACTAAAGAGGTTCAACCTGCATTTTAGACACCATGGTGAAACAACTGTTTTCAGAAATAAGAGGTCCTTAGAGGAGCAAGCAGTCTTAGACGGACAACTCTATAAGCTGCCCAACTTTCTCCAGCAAGAGGACAATAAGGACAATCCTTCATTGAAGGGCTGATTGAACATAATAATGAAGGGAAAAACACTCAATCTGACAACCTTTCATGCTTATTTAGTCTGTATGTCTGTGCATGTGCACCTACACATTAGGCTAGATGTTATGTATGTTCACATATAGGACATGTTTCAATGAAACTACAGAAAAGTTTTAGTTACTATTTTTACAACATTTCCCCCTAATATTTAAAAAGTGCCAGGCTAGAACTTGGAATGTTTATCAAGCATCCAACTTACCGTATTTTCCGGCGTATAGGGCGACTGGGTGTATAAGACGACCCCCTATCTTTTTAATTAAAAGATAGGGTTTCATCTTATACCCCAGCGCCCCTCCGCCTCCTTTGCTCCCGGTGTCCCTGGTCTGCTGGAGATGGTCCCCAGCAGACCAGAGGCACCAGGAGCAAAGCCGCAGCAGCTTTGAAAGCCTCGGGGGAAGCCGGCGGGGGGGGGGGGGCGGGGCGGGACGGGGGGGGGC